CATATATATTATTATTATTATATTATTATTTGCAAGTATACGTGTTTATCTATCGTCCTGTCCCACTCATCGTTCGTTATATAATCTTGTGGCTGCCCATGACAGGGCATTACAAGCACTAAGGAAGCTCTTCCAGAGGCCCCCATCTACCTACATCCCTTAGACGGACCCTTGTACGATGCCACATCCACTCAGTCAGAGAGGTTCGGATTGGAAAGCTTACCTGCTTTGCCACCATGGGACATAGATCTGACAGGTCACCATCCAGGTACTAGCTATACCTTTGCACACGAATGTAGGAGCAATTGAAGAGCGCGGGTGTGTACTTGTTGTGTGTCTTATTGATAGATGCAATTGGGTGTGGGCTGAGTATGAGTCGTCTTTGCGTTTAGCTGCTTTTGATGATTCTGTAAGTGTGAGTGAACATGGCTATGCATGCACACAGGATAATACATGCACGTATGGTTACACAAATACACATGATGATACATACACACATGGTCATGTATGCACACATATTGAGTGCACTCGGTGTTTATTCCTGTCGTCTCGGCAGGCTCCCCCTTTGGGACATACACACGCAACGACAGGAAAGAGTGCAGCATCATCTGTATAGGGGAGACCATCCGACTGACAGTCATCCACACGCCTGGGCATTGCCCTGGGCACGTGTGTTTATATGACGAGAGAGCAAAGGTAAGCGACGCACATCAGAAGACCCTTCACTCGGAACGTACTTGCTGTCGGTGGTGGTTGTTCTGTGGTAGTATAGGCGTATTCTTATATGGTTGTATTTGTTCTGTGGTAGTATAAGCGTGTGTTTATATGGTTGTTGTTGTTCTGTGATAGTATAGGCGTGTGTTTATTGGTTGTTTTTGTTCTGTGTTAGTATAGGCGTGTGCTTATATGATTGTTGTTCTGTGGTAGCATAGGCGTGTGTTTATATGGCTGTTGTTGTTCTGTGGTAGTATAAGCGTGTGTTTATGTGGTTGTTGTTGTTCTGTGGTAGTATAGGCGTGTGTTTATATGGTTGTTGTTGTTCTGTGGTAGTATAGGCGTATTCTTATATGGTTGTTGTTGTTCTGTGGTAGTATAGGCGTGTGTTTATATGATTGTTGTTGTGCTGTGGTAGTATAAGCGTGTGTTTATAGGGTTGTTGTTGTTTGTGGTAGTATAGGCGTGTGTTTATATGGTTATTGTTGTTCTGTGTTAGTATAGGCGTGTGTTTATATGGTTGTTTTGTCTGTGTTAGTATAGTAGTA